TTGGCTCGGACTTGTGTGTGCGCTTGACCTTGTATACGGCAGGTTTGAGGAACGGGTACGTCGCCCCCGGCGGGGGAGGGTGCCCGTGCCACATCTCGTACGGCGACTTCTTCTCTGGGTTGGATGTGGTGGAGGTGCAGTTCAGGGCGTTGCATGCCCAAGCTATGGCCTCGGCCCAAAGGGAGGGGTAGTTCGGTGCTTCGGGGTAATGAGTTGGCGCTTGGATACGGGCGGCTAGTACTGCATCATTATCAGACCCAGTGCTGTCTCAGCTACACCGTTGTATTCTGGGCTGTGTGCGGGGGTGAACTCCTGTTTGATGCAGTACTTCCGGCACACCCTGCCGAACTCTCCCTCAAAGAACTCTCCTCCGTTGTCAGATCTCACGACCATGACATCGGACGGGGCACCGTTTGCCCGGTTTTCGGCAAGGTATCTCTCGAATGCCTCAGCTGCGTCTGATTTGTGCTTCAGGAAATAGACACGGTTCCACCTTGTGTAATCATCCTTGACAATGAGAGTGTACCACTTTCCCCCCAAGCTCTGCACCCTAGCTTTTCCACTCAAATCCACGAAAACTCGCTGCAGTTTCTTAGCTGCTCGGGTCGACGTCTTGGGAATGGGCTTGGAAAGCCCCTTCGCCGTCAAGCACCCCAGGCACTCCGGGAGCTCGCCCAGCAGCATCGTCCCCTGCTGCTTCGCCATGGTCCTCAGCAGCAACTCGTGGGAGTGGCCGTGCGCGACGTGGACATCGTTGATGTCAACGCTGGCGCTGGACGTTCTCGCATTGCCAGGAGCAATTGCGGCATAGGCATGTTCGGTGTGTGTGCGGAAACCGTTTTGGACGTACAGGTTACCGCATCGGGGGAAGGACACCGACTCCCCCCCCTCCCTCCCTCCAATTCCTAGTCGGGGAACGTGTGCAACCCGTTTCAACAACAGGTCGGTTGTGCCGTCGCGCGAGCGAAGTGTTACCGTCACGTCGCCGTACCCCACGATGGGGAACAAGGTTTCTCCGGCGGCGACGCGCACACGTCGATCACACTCTTCGTAACGAACGAACCCATCTGAGTTCGCGAACATGTGGGTGGTAGCGCCGGTATCGGCAACATACCTA